CCTCAGATCATACTCTAAACATTCTACTGGTAAAGCTGGACTTTACTATCATGCATGCAAAACGTAAGTACGGAATAATTATAATTCAGGAGTTCCTTTTATACGTTTTTGCCTGAATGCAAATTGTAAAAACGCATATTGCGACGACTCTGTCTGTGTGTGTGTGTTCGTTTGTCCGATATTTCAACCCGGCAACCAAGCAAGCCCCAGCGCAAAAATTTTGCTAACGGGTTCCCTGGCCAAGTGCTACTCCAGGACCGCAGTACCAACCCTCACGCAAGTCTAGGCCCCGCGTACAACAGGGTAAAGTTTTGGCAGGAAAGCTGCTAACTCGGCAATCGGAAAAGACTGAGAGCTGAAATTTTGAAGTTATGTTCCCCGTCCACATACAATTCGAAGATTTCAAATTCAACCCCCAAGTGTGCTTGGTTCCCGTATACAACCCCGTGAAGGTTCTTAGCGCGAAAATCGCTAACTTGGGAACCAGGGGTGCCAGAAGGCTGAAATTTTAAGGGAATGTACCCGCCCATGCACAACTCAGAGGCATCAAATTCAGCCACTAGGCATGCGTGATTCTTACGCATGGCTCCGTGAAAGTTTTTGGTGGGGAGAATTGTTAACTCGGGAAAGAGGAGAGCTGAGAGGCTGAAATTATCAGGGAATGTTCCCAGCCCATGTACAGCTTAAACTTATCAAATTCAGCCCTCAGGTATGCGTGGTTCTCAAGTACGGTCCCGTGAAATTTTTTAGGGGGAAAACGGCTCACTTGGGAACCAGGAAAGCTGGGATTCAAATTTTAAGGGGATGTTCACAACCCATGTACAATTTAGAGATTTCATATCCACGCGCGGCTTCGTGAACGTTTTGGCGAGAAAATTGCTAATTGGGGGACCAGAAGAGCCGGAAAGCTGATTTTAGGATAATATTTCTCGTCCAAATACGACTTAAAGATCTCAAATGCAGCCTTCAGACACGCGTGGTCCTCGTATACGGGCGCTTAATTTTTTGGCGGGGAAATTTCTCACTGTAAGGCTCAGTCTTTTCAAA